ATATATATATATATATATATATATATATATATATATATATATATATATATATATGAAACATGCAAAATGGTAAAGAGGGTCGAGCTCAAGTCAACCTCGCTTAGAGTTGGGATGAGCGAATCGATACTTTTGATTATTAGGGCCGCTGAAACCCCGTCCGATGAGTGACGTCGTCCCCCGGTCGCAGCGCCGACTGTGACGTTCTATCCTGATCTACCACGGCGCCAGTTGTGACGTCCCCAAACAGCACCAATTGTGACGTCCTCGCCGCGGCGCCAGCTGTTCGCTCCTCGCTGCTCTGTTCGGGTGTCGCTGTTCCAAACGTGACGTCCGCCTGTCGCTTCAGTCGTGTTGTCTCGTCCTGTGACGACCAACTGGCTTGGTATCGGTCGCGGCACCCAAATGTGACGTTCTAACCTTTTGGTGATTCGGGTGGGAATCTGGTTAGATTTGATATCAGCCTCGTCGTTCCCAACTCGCTTCCAACGCCTGGTTACCAAAAGGTAACTGCATTGATCTCCAGTCTGCCTACCCACGCTGTGAATTGATCTTCGACAGACGAGATCAAACAGTGGTTGGGGCCGTAATGCAAACTGAGTTCAACGGGGGTGATACTACACAAATATGCATAAAAGAAAATAAAATGAAAACTCAAAAAGTTCAAAGTATCAAAGAAAAAGGTAACAAACTTTATGTCTAGTTGTTCGATACATAGGACTGCATCTATCTCCCGACCCGTTCTGTGGATTGTGACACGTCGTTTTCCGTTAGGCAAGTTTTTAACGCTTCAAGTTGTTTGCTCTCTAAGAAATTGGCGTTTCGGTCTGTCTTTGGACGAAAGTCGAGAAAAAACTTATTTCGGTGGTCTGGATCTAAGTCGCTCTTCAAAATAATTGTTTTGGGGTTGAAGAGGAGTCCGGACTTTGCGTGAATCTTGGTCAGCTATCTGCGAGGCGGCTTCAACTCTGGAAACTCAACTCTCCGCTGGAGCCCAAAACTCTCTGATTTCTGCCTGTTGGGGCCTCGCTTTTATTGACGCCGACCAAAACCGGGGTGGGTCTGTCGGCGTCGGGGAGTTCCTCGATAATTCTAAATACATATCCACTTCTTTTATTTCTGGTTAGGGATTTTCCACTCTTTTCCATTTTGGGGAACCTTTCCTTACTCCCACTTTCTCACCATACTTCAGAGGGCCTGAACTTCCCTCCCCACTTCCTCGTAGCAGCTTCTCATACTTATACTCTGGATGAGGCGTCGACAGCCTTTTTCGTGCGTCACGTGATCACCACTCGGCCAATGAGGTCTTAGTCGGGTATCTTTCCTCCTCCTTCGTGCGTCACGTGATCACCACTTGACCAATGATGTCTTAGTCGGGCGTGAACAATCCACGGCTTTGTTTCGGGGAAAAAAATATCTTGCTTAACTAAAAAATTATCTCTTTTCTTCCGCTTTAATCGCCGTTATCATTTTTCTAGCCGCAAACGGACAATATGACAACTCTTGTTCTACACGTGGTTTTTGTCAGGTATTTTATCGCTAATTATCAAAATGGGTGGTCTTCTTAACACGGCCTCAAAAAAGAAATATCTCTAAAATTTCAGTCAATCTGTCGCCTCCAAGGAAGAAGAAAAATCACTTCTGGGTCCCCATTCATTTTCCTTCGGTACATATTTCTGATAACATAATTTTATTATTGCAGGCCAAAGTTGTTTCGTCGAAAAAAAATCGGTCAGCGGACACGGGTTGTGTGGTTTTTAATTTTTCATATCTACCCAAAGTCCTGTAGTTACACCTGTGTTTTGTCAATTATCAAAATTAACGTTTTCAATTGAATTTTTCGTTGGCCAGTCGAGCAGCCGTTTTGTTTACGTACTCCTAGATAACACAGCCGTTATCAAAACACATCTGTTTCTTTCTTTCTTTCCCTTTCTTCTTACCCAGAATTTCCCTGTCATTGTAATGACACCCTTTCGCCATGGTTACTTATCAATATATTCATTGTCTCTTAGCCGTGTGTGTGTTCTGTTGATCACCCACGATTCGTCTCGCCTTTCTTTCTGCCTTCTTTTCTTTCTTTTCCTTTCTCTGCCTCGTAAATGGTGCCACAATGTCGTTGGTAAGTGGAAAGTGTTCAGTCGTCAGTAAAACAGGGATACAACCATTCCCCCGTGGGGACGCTGCTACAACCTGTTTCACATTCTGAGGCCAAGAGCCGAAAGAGAAACATTATATCCTTTCCGAAGTGAGGTTTTAATAGTGCAAACGTGACAGAAAACCTTTCAGGATTTTTTTTTCTAAAAATTGCACCATTGAAAAAGGAATATATATATATATATATATATATATTTTTTTTTGCTGTTATTTTTATTATTTGGTTATAATTCATGTTCCCCATACGCTAAGTACTGACCTGGGTCGACACTTCAGCGCTCGAACGAGAACCGGTATTTCTAGTGTGATTTCACCGTAATCATCTACGAACAGAGATAAATAAATATGG